AGGTGGAAAGTCAAAATTAATCCCAACAAAAGTTCGGCTATCCTTTTTACCAAACGAAAAATCCCACAAAACCTCGACAGACTGACACTATCCCAGGAACCTATCTCCTGGAATCGACAAACACGATACCTGGGCGTGACGATGGACCAGCGTCTCACGTGGAAACCGCACATCGTGGAGACGGTGGCGCGAGCGAAGACCACCAGGGCTAGGCTCTATCCCTTACTCAAAGGTGGAAACACCCTCAGTTTAAGGAATAAGCGAACGCTTATCAAGGTGGTACTTCAACCGCAGCTAACCTACGCCTCCACGGCGTGGGGTCACGCGGCAAAAAGCCACTTAAAGTCATTACAGGCTGTGGAAAACATAGCCCTCCGCACGGCCACCGACGCGCCCTGGTACGTAAGAAACACTGACATATTACGAGACTTACAATACACAAACGCTACACAGACAATAAGACAAAACGCGGAGAAACGATTTGACGTAGCCGCTAGACATGACAATCCCCTCCTCAGGCAAGCCGTTGACTACGTACCCGACGTGACCGACAAACACAAAAGACCTAGACACCAACTTTTTGACCCTGGGTGACCACCCCAATGACCCCCCCCCCCTGCCCGCTAACCTTTTCTGTTTCAGAGACAGCCAGGATCAAGAAACGAAGACAACGACACACACACACACACATACACACCCCCCATACCCTCCTTAACCCTCCCCTCCCGCGCTAGCCTAAGGGCCACCTTAGCAAAGCGCATCCCAGGCTGCATAGCCGCACTACCCTACCCAACCATACCACACATAAACATGACACTACCCCCGGGGTTTACACAGACGAGCCGGCGAAGCAAGAAGAGCGCCAGAAGAAAGGGCCCTAGCCGGCGGGGCCCAGCCAGGACAAAAGGAGGTCCCACAAAGCGCCTACACCGGCCGCATTTGCGGTCGGGGTAGACGACGGATGGGGCCCACCTACGAAGGCTGTCCAGGCCTACACGAGATGAGGCAGGATAAAGAGGGATAATCCCCCTCGATCCCAAATCATTGAGGCCAATTTCTAGCCATAGAATAATGGCGCGCGCGATCCCAAATCATTGAGGCCAATTTCTAGCCATAGAATAATGGCGCGTATCTATAGTATCATTTATCTAGGCCAACTCATATTGCAAGCTTAGCTAAAACGGTCCGCGATATGTTTACCATATCTGCACGATTAGGCGGTTTCAGATGACACAAGCGAACAAAGCCTTCCTGACGTAAGGGTGTTCTCGACCTTGCTTAAGTGCATCTGTAACATAACCATTATTGGGCACTACCCACAATTAGATTTGGGTAGCTAGACAAAACAAGAAAAAACTAAATTAACTAATTAGTTACATTTAGAAAAGCCTATTGTTCAGGGACCATAATTTACTTTACATTTTATTAGGAAAACTCTGTTTAAGACAAAAATAATTATATTGCTCAATTGCTCCAAAATAATTGTAGTGCCCAAATGTGAATTTGGGGATCTCAAAAGTAAATGTACTGCCCAAATGTGAATTTGGGGACCTAAAAAGTAATTGTACTGCCCAAATGTGAATTTGGGGACCTAAAAAGTAATTTTACTGCCCAAATGTGAATTTGGGGACCAAAAATAATTGCATTGCCCAAATGTAAATTTGGGGAACTCAAAAATAATTGTATAGCCCATATTGAGTATGGGGACCTTAATCGATATAGCTCAAATTTAATTTGAGGACCTGACCTGACATTCTACAGCCCAGAGGGGAACTTTAAACGGTCCCTACTTTTTTTTTATTGTCGAGTGTCGGGCCACGTGCGTAATTGCTCACCATTGCAAACCGTTGCTTTGCTTTAATGTGTACAACATCGGCAATTATTAGAGAGATATTGGAGCGACAACTTGCACTAGTGCATGCGGTATTTAGACATCTACACATGCGCAGTTGCATATAGCTGTCGCGCTGCCGTAAAACGATAACACCTGGTGTAATTTACGAATGTATAGCGTTATGCTTTACTGTTTCGCTAAAGCGCTTCGGGTGATGTCGGAAAAGCCGACGACGATTAGGCACATAGAATATGGTTAGACAAAACCAATCAAGGTCATCAACATCAAACAACTACCCTAGGATGTTCAATAACTCATATTTTCAAGACAAATTAGCGCAGAAATAACGCTGCGCTATTAACACCGTANAGGCTGTCCAGGCCTACACGAGATGAGGCAGGATAAAGAGGGATAATCCCCCTCGATCCCAAATCATTGAGGCCAATTTCTAGCCATAGAATAATGGCGGTTAGACAAAACCAATCAAGGTCATCAATATCAAACAACTACCCTAGGATGTTCAATAACTCATATTTTCAAGACAAATTAGCGCAGAAATAACGCTGCGCTATTAACACCGTATGTGCGGTAAGTGACGCTCCAATATCTCTCTATTATCTCCTTCCTTGCAGGAACGTCAATTAATAGTTCATCAGCCGCTTTTAAACGTCGATTTTCACCAAACATTAGGACCCAAGGAGCGTACCCCGTTGATTTATTGACAGTGACATTTAAGTCGTCTTTAATATCGGGCAGCACTTTTGTCCAGTTCTTCTCATCTTTATCATTCAACACAGCTCGCATAGCATTAAATAGAGTATGCATTACACGTTCCAACTGTCCATTTCCGCGTGGAACTGCCGTTGCAATTAAATGCAGTTCAACAGACCACTCTTCTAAAAATTCCTTAAATTTTTCTGACTGAAAGGCAGTTGCTCTGTCAGCAATCAAGCGTCTAGGTGCGCCTAATTCTGTGAACGCTTGAGCTAAGGCTTTTATGCTAGCATCGGTAGTTTTCTGTTTAATCGGACAGAGGCGAACATATTTTGTAAAAGTCTATTATCACTAGTATGAACTTAGGTACATTTGTTGGATTTCACCAGCGGTCCAGCGTGATCAATATGCCATGTGTCTAATTTTGATGACGATTTAGATTTTTGCTGACACATTCCGTGTTTTTTTACCAGTTGATGATTTTCCCAAAACACATGACAGACAATTTGAAACATATTTATGAACAGTTTTTCCCATATGTGACCAAATGAGATCCTCTCGTAGTTTTGACAACATTTTATCAACACCAATATGAGATGACTCATCATGATAAAGTCGCATAACATTATGTCTTGCTGACATTGGCACAAAACACCTATTATGTTTGTCATGAGGATTCTTCGCAATCAGTTGTGCAGCGACTGTAATAGGCCACGGGGTGCAAAACTTTGTCCGTGTCTTTTTGCATTAACACTGTACCTAAACCTATCGAACTCGCATCGGTATATAATTCCGTATATAAGCTCGGATCGAATATTTTTAAAATAGGATATTCAGTTAATCGTTTCACTAGGTCCAAACGAATATTTTCACATTCATTAATCCACAGAAATGGCTGTCCCTTACGCAACAGGTTCGAAATTGGTGCCGTTAAACTAGCAGAATTCTTGATAAAATGCCGAAAATAACCGGCAAGGCCTAAGAGCTGGCGAACACCTTTTACATCTGTCGGAGCTACTGTCTGTACCAGAGCATTCACTTTTCGGGGATTCGGTTTTACAGTTCCTCTTTCAATCACAACACCTAAATATTCTATCGATGTTTTAAAAAAGCTACACTTTGCTAAGTTCGGCACAAATCCAGCATTGGCAAAGGATAATTGTTGCGTAACACTTTTTTTGTTTACATCCCGATAGTCTACACAGTCTTGTTTCTCCATTCCTTTTTTTACGAGTACAATCGGGCTAGCATATGCTGATTCACTTGGTCGTATTATTCCGGCTTCAATTTGTTGTTGTATAATATGCTTTACTTGCAATAGTTCTCCATATGCTAAATGCCGAGGTTTGTGAGCGACCGGTTGTGAATCACGTAGTATTATTTTTAACTTGCCTGTTGTTACTGCGGGTGGCGTTTGACATCCATTCCACCATCGTAAACGCTGTGTCATCAGGATCATAACTTGTCAACCGAATTTGCGATGATGCTGCCGCCACAACTTCGGGTATCTGATTGGATACAAGGGTCTGAATTTGCACCTGCGTACTTGTCGAAGCTGACTGCAGCGCCTCCTGGGATTGAATCGCTTGGGCGTTGGCCATTGTTGATAAAATTTGCATGATTTGATTTTTAAAGTGAATATTATTTTCCTGCTGAATTTTGTACATTTCCATCATTTTAATGTCTAGTGACTCACTGACTCTCAATACACCAACGGATCGAATAGTAGCCCGTTCAGCACCTTCACTTTGTTCATGGTCGTCAGCCATTGTTCTCGACGTATTTTAGTTTTCACACAAAAAATAAAGCAGTTTTAGGTCCTTTTCTCCTGTCCTAAAGACACTAGGAGGAATCCCACTTCTGACGTTAGCTTTTTAGGCAAAAAGCGAGATATAATAAAACACAATTGACGCAATAATTTTGGTTTATTGGATCCTAATACTGATTCACATCTTAATACAGCAAAGTAGGCTCGCCAACTGACTCATATTATATTGCAAGTTTAGCTAAAACGGTCCGCGATATGTTTACCATATCTGCACGATTAGGTGGTTTCAGATGACACAAGCGAACATATATATATTTGTTGATTATATATTACTAGTTATATAAATAAGGGTAGGTATAACAATTATAAAAAGAATTAATTTTCTTTTTATTAATTTTTTAAAACCTAGAGGAGCAAAGTTTACTCAATCTTCTCTGAAAAGCCGCCACTAGTATTTACCTACCAAGGACGGCGGACAGCATTGTTAACAGAGCTTTTTTATCATTTGATATTAAATTACAAAATTACAGTTTAGCAGAGTTAACTAATATTGAGATAAATACATAATTGGCTAATCCTAAAATATAAATTAAGTATTTTCTGGTCATGTGCTTCTGAGATCACAGCATCCGGAATGTAGCCAATAAAATGTTATGTGATTTGTGATTTATAGCGATGATGATCTTGGTTGTGACACAAGACACAACCAATAACGTGACAGTTGTCTGTGTGGCTGTGGCTGTTATGTTATGACACTATTGACAGTTCAGATATACCGGTGAATATAAATAAAAAGGGATACCGAAATGTTGAATTAATATAATTATTTTTGGATTCTTTACATAAATCTACTCGAAGAAACTTAATAAACTTATAACATTCTTATAACGGAAGTGGTGTCAAAGGAGGTTTGAATAATTTTGCATGCATTTTTAGTGACAAGTAAGTTAAGGGTAGTTTTATTATTTATTTTATATCAGTTTTGAAATATTAGACTTAGAAGATTTTTGTCAATATTAGAATAAAACAAGAGTTCATTTATTACAGAAATATAATAATTATTTCACCTAAAATTACGACTTATATCAATAAAATAGTGTTTACAGGTTCAATAAAATAGATAGAGTAGTCAATGTTAAGTGCAGCACAAATATTGTTATTTCATGAATATACTTTTATAAATCCATCAAATACGTTATCTTGTTTGATACATGTTTGCATGTATATTTTAGTGAGCCTACTACATATATTTATTAGCTGTTTGATAATTCGCTGCTGTTTTGCTTTATTTTTAGCCCAAGTATCAGTTTCCATGGACCAGTATACCTTAGGAATTGATATAGGAACTACATCTGTAAAAGTATGTATAGTAAATACAAAATCTTCTGAGGTTGAAGCACAACATGTTAAAGATACTCAGTCAAATATTCCAAGTGATACTGGACCAGGCGGTAATAAGCAGGATGTTCCTAAAATTATATCAGCCTTAAATCTATGTGTATCAAAACTGCCAAAACAGCTATTACAAGATGTAAGTTTTATATATATATCAAAATAGTGAAATAGTACCTACTTAATTTAAAAAAAATAAAGAAATTAATTGACAGATTATGTCAATAGTTATCTGCGAGGGGTTATCCATTGGGGGAATAAGTGCACCTTTCAAAGAAACTATAATGTGAGGAATAACAAGGATTAGGTATTATAGGAAAACATGATAACATGAAATATTAGATAATTCAAGGAAAACATGTAAATAAGGAACAATATCTGGGAATATTTTTATTTTTTTGCAGTTAAATAATAAACAGTAAAGTATTCCTAAAGAGGGTTACAATTTTGTGTTGTGAATGACCCTTCAGTTATTTCAGAAAGAAAACCAAATCAAATGTTCAAATGTTATTTCTGTTCAACTATGAGATATCAAATTATTTATTTAATATCCATAATTTAATATTTTTGGGGATACATGATATTGCAAAAAAATGAGTAAAGTAATTTGTATTTTTAATATATTTTTTAAGGTTTCTAAAATTGGAATATGTGGACAAATGCATGGTGTTATGTTTTGGAATAATGAAGAGAACAAAAAGGCGTGGGATATGATTGAAAAAGATAAAAGTGTTAGATATGACGTAATACAAGACAAAGTTTCTGCATTATATACTTGGCAGGATAATAGATGTGATACTAATTTTCTTGCCCAGTTGCCAATACCAAGATCACATTTAAGAGTATCTACAGGTTTTGGCACAGCAACAATTTTTTGGATGAAAAAAAATAAGTAAAGTATAATACCTATATTATAATCAGATTTTAACTTTTTCTTGTTGTATTCCGTGAAACAGGATTTAACCAATACATTTATACGAAAAAAAACAGCCTTCATGTTATTAATTTTTAGGCCAGAAAAGCTTAAAAAATATAATTGTGCTGGTACAATAGCTGATTTTGCAGTGTCAATGTTGTGTAATATGAATAAGCCTGTGATGTCATATCAAAATGCTGCCAGCTGGGGATATTTCAATTGTACCGACAATAATTGGAATATAAATCTTTTAAAAAATGAAGATTTTCCTGTAGAATTACTTCCAGAAATAAAAGCTCCTGGAGATCTTGCAGGTTTTCTTTCTGAGAATTGGCACAGTATTCCAAAAGGCACTCCAATAGGTAAATTATTTTAACTCAATATGTAGGCATCATTTATTTTCAATAATTCATATGCTCATATTTCTATTTGAATTCGAGTATACAGGGTGAGTCGTAATAATTAGGTGTAAAAAATTTAACAAAAGCTTGAACCAAAATAAAGGAATTAGCCAAATATAGGTACCATACTTCCAAAATCTTTTCTAAAAAAGTTATCAGTGTTGAAATATTTTATTTTGTTTATTTCTTTCTATAACTCCATTACTTTTTATGATTTTTCTATAAAACTTGGCATAAGGGACTTTTTGAGAATGCCTAACATGAATATGAACTTATTCTTTACCTGAAACATCAAAGTCATCTAAAGTTGGAAGAGATTTTGAGAAAATGCATTAGTTTTTTGAAGTTAACTGTAAAGAGATATATTTGTTGCATATTAGTAAAATGAGAAAAATGGATGTAAATTCTCTCAGCAGTTATCAGTTACATAATAATAGTATTTGGGGATATCCCAAGCTAATAAAACAAAATCTTTCAGCCATACTTTTTCTTGTTACTTCAGCCAATTGATTTCATGGCATTAGATATGCACTAAAGTTTATCCGCATGTACAAGAATAACCAGATTTTTTCTTTTTTGGTACACGAACTACTTTGGGGAAGATATAATAATTACATGGTGTTATTTTTTCAAGAAAGAAAATAAGTAATGAATAACAATTTTTTTAAATGCGGAGCAGACTATTTTTATTCAAATTTCAGGAAATGTTCTTCAGACAAAACCATTAAATTATGAATTCATCTTTTATTTTACTTAATGTCTTTTCAATGTAAATTACAGATTGATAAGGAAAAAAATACAGCAGATCACTAGAATTTAAATTGTTCAACTCATGACAAAATTAGGTACCTACAACTTATTTTATGTTTGTTATAGGTAACCTGTTAAATAAATGCCAATTTAAAAATATATATAGAATGAACCCACTATTAATTTAATATGACCTTAAATGTTGCCTACACAGATTTTAGATGTCTTGAATTGTCATTACACATTTCCATGTCCTGATTTATGTAAGGACGGATAAATATTTAAAAAAGTTTTTCAAACGTGTAATTTGGCAGGTTTTAGTATATTTGTATACAGGGTGTGCCATTTAACACTCCTGCTGCCAATATCTCCGAAATGAAGAAATTTATTTTAGTTCTGGAAACTGGAGTTGTTAGATCCCTCGAATAGTTTCAAATTGTAGTTAGAACTGTTAGTCCAAATCTTTATATATAGATGGCGTGGCGATACTAAAAAATTTTTTGATCCCTGGAACGTGGAAATGCAGTCCATCTTTTTTTCCCTATATTTACTTGTTTTCGAGATATGTCGACTTCAATATGCAATGTATAACAGGAAAATGTATTATTTTACCTAAATCATACCGAGGCAAAATATTCTTTTAAAATATTATTATAATGACTTTATTCGCACCACATACTAACTAACAAACAATAAATTATAAAAAAAACAAACGATCAACTACAGAAAAAAAAGTTGGACAATGGTAAATCGTATAACTGCTATAATTAAATTGAATGACACAAACTGATAAAACTGTAATTATTGGAAAACTAATATGTGTCGTCATTGTTATATTTTAAACAAATGACATGAGCCACCTATGACTGCATTTTTAATAACATTTGATAAAATGCGGTTCGTTTCTGACCCTTATAAGATTTACCATTGTACAATTTTTTTTCCTGTAGTTGATTATTCGTTTTTTTATAATTTATTGTTTGTTAGTTAGTATGTGATGTGAATAAAGCCATTATAACAATATTTTAAAAGAATATTTTGTCTCAATGTGATTTAAATAAAATAATAGATTTTCCTGTTATATCATACATTGCATATTGAAGTCGACATATTTCGAAAACAAGTAAATATAGGGAAAAACTTTATATTATTATTCAAAATATAACGATCTTCCAGATGGACTGTATTTCCACATTTCAGGGAACAAACAATTTTTTAGTATCGCCACGCCATCTATTACTGTTACAACTATTAATTCTAACTCCAATTTGAAGCTATTCGAGGAACCTAACAACTTCAATTTCCGAAACTAAAATAAATTTCTACATTTCGGAGATATTAGCAGTGGGAGTGTTAAATGGCACACCCTGTATTTCATGAATATACAAGCGGTTGCATTACAGGCATATGTAACCAGACCTCTGAAATTGGCTGAATTTTTCAGATGAGTTCCTATCTTGTTTTACCATAAAAAAGAAAAAAAAAATTATTGCACCATATTTACAAAATGTTTGAGTTCTTCCCATTGTTAAGATGGGTCATTAATGTCATTATATATTTTTAAGTTGTTGAACCTACCCAAGTCCACCTTTTGATTACATGCCTGCTCTTGCAATATTCCACATGAACAGATTTCTACTGGTGATTATCTGAACAAAAATGATAAAAAGAAAATTTAAATGATTATTTTGTTTTTCAGATATTTTTTTATTTAGTTCTCATTTATAAGGTGATTGATACTTTCTGATACTTTCCTTTAGCTCCATCAAATTTTTTCATTGCAACAATGCTGACCCTTTTTCTTGTACATTTTATTGTACTGTTTAAATTGTATTCATCACTATGCAACTTAAGCACGGACGGATTTTTTTATGTGGTATATTGGTTAATTTTAAATAAAACTTATATGCAGTACCACAGTGAGGCTGTGTTGGAGGCCAGGTCATAAAGGCAGTGAAAGTAATGAAAAAGCAGATGAACTTGGAAAAAAATCCTGAAATGGTTTTCTTAGAACAAGGGCCAGGATTTATCAGTACTTACAGTGCTGCAAAGCAAGCTTTGAGGAAACGGGCTCATATAAAATATTGTAAATACTGGGACTGAAGACCAGCACAGACATAAATGAAGTAAACATTAAATATTTCCTCATATAATAAATGAAATGCTATGTGTGAGTAATATCAGACTCGGAGTGTTCACAGGACCTTTAACAGGTCACTGCCAAAAGAAGAAGCATCTTTACAACATGAAATTGGTGGAGAATCCTATTTGCCTAGATTACGACTAGAAATATGAGTCCGTATTGTATATCTTTAGTGAATGTGAGGGCTTTGCATGCCTGAGATTAAATTTATTTGTCATTGCTTTCTTAAATATGAAGGAGTTAAGGAAATATCAACTAGCAGATTTTTGGACTTTGTACAAAGAATAATTCTGCTAGACGAATAACTACAGGGTCTTTAGAGGAAGAGAATATTTGAAGAGTAAATAAATCAAAGTGCAAAAACCCGATATGCAGAAATATTTTTTTGTAAATAAGAATAGGAATAATTTTTATTAATAAAAAAGTTGAATTGCCATATACGGTAACAAATATTGACCTCTTTTTTTATGTAGTATGTAAGTCTGGGATGACTCCAGAGGTCCTCAATAAGTTTTAACAACTTCATTATTAATGTTAAGTAGGTACTATTTTGCAGCTTCAATGATTTTGGTTATTGAAAATATTGATTATTAATGTGTTCTACCTACTACTAAGAAATCTTCTCCAAGTTCTTCAAAACCCTGAATACAGTATGAAGCTCAATAGGACAGAACTCATAACTTTGAAAAATAGATCTGAGAATTATATTGACCACGTCTCCAATTATTGGAACTGGTTCAGATTATTTGGGTTTCCTATTATTATTTGAATTCTGCATTATCTGAGTGATGCGATGTAGTTTCTAGTTTCCACCATATGCATGTTTATGCTTTAACTCTCATATTTGAATCAGGATTATTTAATCACCATCTCTTCTGTTTGAAGTGTAACTACAGATTTATGGTTTTTTAAGTGGAAGAGAATGTTATATCTTTTAAAAAATCTGGACTGTCTGAGTTTCAAGTCTGGTAATCTAACTGGCCAACAAATAGTTCATTATTGTACCTGAAAAAGTGTAAAACAAATGAGAATAATTAAAAAAATAAACTTAAACTTAAAAATGATGCGTTTGAGCATTTTCTTTCTCATTTTTGATCAGAGAATAATTGTACAATTTTATAATTAAAATAAAATTGTTAATTTTAAAAATCAAATGACCAGTGACTACTGTAAAACTTATACTATACCAATTTAATTTTTTCCAGCAAGATCCTTGATGACATGCAAATTAAAAAAAATAAGTTTGAAAGAAAATTAATCATAAGTACATCATTATAAGTTTGATGATGTTGAATAAAAATAAATTTATTTCTATTTTCTTGTTGACATGATACGGATTTGGTGATTTTATTGAAACATCAAACAACAGTGGCACATAGTTTTAAATCTCCATGTTCAGACCATAGATCCTCAATTCGATTTAATTTAACCAACATTTCAAATAAATTATTGTGCCATATGATGCAGGGCTTGGAATTATTTGTAGAATAGTTTCAGAAAAATATTTAATATTTACTGAACCAACAATTTTTTTATAGAAACATCGGAATAAAATAATATATTTCAGGATTAGCTTTGGGTGATTTACAATGTTCTGTGTTATCAACAGTTGAAACTCCACAAGATGCTGTTTTGAATATATCTACTTCTGCACAAATAACTTTTGTTGTTGACAACTATCAACCAAACTCAGGTCCACCTGAATTAACTCCAGTTGAATATTTTCCATATTTCAAAAATCAGTTTATAGCTGTAGCAGCATCATTAAATGGAGGGAATTCTTTAGCTACATTTGTAAAAATGTTACAGCAGTGGACATTGGAATTAGGATTCAGTGTTCCTCAATGTAAGTAAGTAGGTACAGATATTTGCTGTTATATACAAAATTTTTTTTTTAAATAAAATTATTTAGAATTTAAAAAGTTATCCCCAGTTATAGAGTTTTTTTTTTAATCAAACTTTAGGAACAAGTAGACCATAAAAAAACAAAAGTTTTTGGTATATTGTTTGTTTGGTTCATTGAGATTTAATTCTTTTTCAAATGTACAATTCATTGAAATTATGCAGAATGTTATTTTTGCAGTAAAAGCAGGTTTTCTAAATGTATTTTTAGTTTTTTCACTGTCGGGTTTATAACATAAATAAAATATAAACAAAATTAATATATTTTTTGATTTCTGTTTATTTGACAATAGAAAAGTGCTTTTAAATTACTTTCACAAATCTATTTCCAAATAAAGTGTACTTATTTAAATTTTTCAGGATTAATCCCTTTTTTATTTTATTTTAAAGCGCTAGCAATTTCAAATGAATTCAGAAAAATTACAGAAATTTCAATCAAATTATACTCCACGGTCGAAATTATAGAGAGTGATTCAGACGTAATATAAAAACACTATTACCATAATGCATATAAAATATAAAATGATTTTTATGCGGTTCAATATTATTTGTCTTTGTGCCGCTCGCTACGCACATCGATAGAATCTATAATCGTCTAGAGACCGAGTTACACTGAACGTCGATCTATATTCTATCTCTGTCTTTTGCACTTGGTAGGGAATAGGGAAATGCTTTTTTAGTGGGTGTAAACGGACTTGATTTACCAGTCCTGAGAAACGTCATAGCATAAGCGTAGACGAGGGGTCTAATTCCATGGCTATAATAAATTTATAAATTAAAAAAACACAACTGGGACGTTTTAAAATGCTGTAATAATTAAAATGGATCAAAGTGCCTGTTATAGCAAACCGTAAAAAATATTAGATGTTATGTTTTATTATCTTTTTTCATTATTTTCTATATCTTGTTGCCTTTTAAGCAGACACGCCAATGGATTTTCGTTCCCGACACGCTTCATCCCC